TGATTCAAGACTCAATTTTAAGGCTCAGGTGAAAAAGGTTTGCAACAGGGTCAAATTCAGTCTATTCAATTTGAGGTTTACCAGGAACTGCATGTCAACAGAGGCGGCTCTGATGTACATGCACTCTATGGTTCTATCTCATATCACATACTGCTTAACAACCTGGTCACATGCCTGTACAACCACTCGTAAACCCCTGGAATCATTATACAAACAAACACTTAAAATAGTAGATAAGAAATCAGTTTATTCTCATCATTGCCCAATCGTCACAAAATATAACTTGTTGAGCTGGGAAAATGTAATGAGATATGCAAATGCTTGCCTCATGTACAAAATAATACACGGCCTTACCTCACCTCCGCTCAGACATGTGATCACCATACGCAAACCTGTAACTAGGTCAACAAGAGCTGCAACCAGAGGAGACTGCGTTGCTCCATTAAGGAAGAGTTCATTCAGCCAATCTTCTTTTTCTTTTAAAGCTGCACAACAGTGGAACTCAGTCCCAGTAAAGATTAGAGAACAAAACACCTGCACTTTATTCAAATCTAACTTAAAAACATGGTTAGTGGAAAATCAGCTCTGTCAACACTGACACAATCTGCACTTTACAACGCTCTGTTTGTACATGTGCTTTGACCTGATGCTATCTGTCTACTTTGTGAATATGCATTTTAGTTTTGTTTTTATGTTTTTATATATGCTTTTATCATAATATAAGCATCTATTTTGAATGTTGTTTTACTGATTGTATTTACCTGTCATTTGAAGTGACATTTTTTTTTAGGATGACTTTCAACATCTCTCAAGGGACTGCAGATGAAAAATAGCCTGTTTGCTAACTCTGGCACATTTACACATGGGAATGTAAATCAATGTGCACTGTCCCTGTCAAATACATAAAGATTTTTTTTAAAAACAATGAATGCGAGGGAGGAAAGCATATTGTAAGGTCATTTCTAAAATGTCTACAATATTAGAATTAGCCATAATTAATGAGAGTTTGTAAAATATTATTCTTTTATATTTCTCAAAGCAAGAGGTAAAAAAAAAGATTGCTTGGTATACAAACTCAGGGATGGTATTAATTGTACTGAAAAACCTTACATCATATTCAGGGCTGTTTTGCTGAGGCTGACTGGGACACATGGTATCTGAACTCCAATGATCTCAGATAGCATGTCATCACTCCAGAGCTGTTTAACTGCAACTCCATCCTCTCTGGTCTTCCTCACAAATCCCTGCGTAAGCTCCAACTGGTCCAAAACTCAGCCGCCCGTATCATTACCAGAACTCCTTCCATTAATCATATCACTCCGGTTCTCAAACAACTCCATTGGCTCCCCGTTAAATACCGCATAGATTTTAAAGTGTTGCTCCTCACCTTCAAGGCCCTTGCACCTCCATATCTCTCTGAACTCCTTCACACCTACACTCCCTCTCGTGCCCTCTGATCCTCCTCTGCCTTCCAACTCACTGTACCTTCTGCCCGCCTGACCACCATGGGGTCAAGAGCCTTCAGCCACTCTGCACCCCGTCTCTGGAACTCTCTCCCACAAGACATCCGCAATATGGACTCACTCTCAACCTTCAAATCCAGCCTGAAAACACACGTTTTTAAACTGGCATATTCAATATCTTAATAATTTTTCTAAACTGATTGTTGTTTTTAAGTCTTTGCTTTTAAGTCTTGTATTACTGTGTGATCTTCTTTGTTGCTTGTTTTTAATTATGCTCTGTAAGGTGTCCTTGAGAGCTTTGAAAGGCGCCCATAAATAAAATGCATTATTATTATTAACTGCAGTACATTCATTTTCTTCTTTGATTACACCTCACCTTGTACGTATGTTGCCTCAAAGACAAGCCATCAATAATGTAACCGAAAATGTAGTCACATTTTAATAACAGTTTTTTAAAACCCACCTCCTCCAGACGAACTAGAGCTCGCACTCTCCCCAGCTCCTCCTCCGCCTGAGCTCGCTCCGTCATACACACCGCTCTGGCTTTACTCAGCTCCTGCAACACAATTACATCATAACACGACGTCACATAAAGAGCGCGGTTAGTTTCTGAAGGAGTCGTTAAGGATACAAACCAAAATGAGGAACAGCATTTCATTTCATTGCAGTTTCATTCTGTAGAAATGCTTCTAAAACATGGAGATGGTAGTTTTACTGCATCCACGAACTGTACTTCGCCACATTCAGTGTTTTATTACTCAACTCTCAGCTTTAGGGTGTCCCCCTTGTCTAGTAGGAAATCCCCAGAGTGGAAAGAGAAGAGGCCTCCTTGTGGATTTGAATAACGTATCTGGAAAATACAGTTAGGGAAGCTAACTAATAAGGCCCCCCCTTCAGTTAATAAAGCCCCCTCACACTGAACCTTGGCTGCCTTCAGTGAATCCATGCAAAGTGGTACAAAGTTGTTTTGTGATTTAAGCCCTGATAGCACCACCAGCACGATAAGGATGTGCCGCCCTGCCTGTCAAACACTGCTTCAGAAACATGTGGGAAAAAACACCAACCAATCACGTCTAATTTGCATAGCCCCTGTAGTCCTGATGTGAAGTTGTGTTTTTATGGCTGAGTATATAGCCTCCGCTGCTACCTTTTAACCACTAAATGAAGAGCATTAGGCTTTGGGCTAATACATAACTACTACCTGACACCTGTTAGCAGTTACATTACATTTCTGGTTGTAAACATGGACGCTCTGAACTCTGACCTCCTCCAGTTGTATCCGCTGTCCCTCCAGTTTGAAGATGCGTTCCTGCAGAGTCCTCTCACACTCTTCCAGATGACGATTCAATTGTTCCACCTGTACATTTCATTATATGTAGTTTTATTTATTAGGATATGGAGTTTTAATTAATCATATAGAAAAGTGAAATAAACAATAAACATGTAAGAGGTTACAAATCCGTCCCCCCATGTAAAGGGCACTATAATGCCTCTAAGGCTAGAAGGACCATGCAACTTGGGGCAAAAGGGCTGTGCTATAATCGAAATGTATTTGAAATTGCAATATGGGCTAGTGCAATATTCAAACTGCAGGAGGCGCAGTATTTGTCACACGAAATATGGGAAATATTAATTTTAATAAAAACAGGTGGTTTTGCATAGATGTCCTGGCATACAACTCGTATTCTACAAACTTCAAAGATATCTTTGGTACAGATCATCTTAACAATGTTAAATATATCCTTCAATAATAATGATGAAAAAATGATCAGTCACTTTGATATCGTGAATCATATCACAATAGCTATATCAGTCAAAAATAATTGCAATTAGTTATTTTTTCCAAATGGTGCAGCCCTATTCATATATCAGCTGAACACACTACGCACTCCTCCTTTAAAGAGCAACTTCCAGGTTAAAGACACCTGTGAATAAATGTGTAGGAAAATTATGAATACACTAGATTTTCCCAAAAATATACAGAAATATAAACTACAGTGACATCTGGCGTTGTTTTTGTAAGAAATGTTCACTTCCGCATAAAAAAGCCTCGGCACGTGACCTCCCGCGTGTGACGTAACACGGGGGACACAAGGGGGAGAGCGGCCGGTGTAACGTATTAATAAACATGGATCCCAATACTAGTTTCGACAAAGAAGACACAGAAGAAGTTGAACATGAATATTCGAATGCATATGACGGTCCACAACCTTATAATTATGAGCCTGCTAGGCGTCCAAGAGACCAGGAGCAGCCAAGGATTAGAA